CGCACCAAAATGTTGCAGGTGAACCTCACCGAAGAAAACAAAGAGAAGTCCTCATTCCGCTCCACAATGCGAGCTGGGTATAGTCCTCCTGTGCCCATGCCCATGCCGAGGTACAACGTGTCGCAGTACCCATGCATCCTGGCTTCCTGACCCTGAGGTAAGCGGGCCCACTCGAGAGTGTCCAAACTCATCCGCTGGACCTCTGCAAGGTTTTTGGCCAAAACCATGGCATACTCGTACACCGACGCCGCCATCGCGATCAACTGCGAACACAAGCGATGAACACGAACAAACTTGAAAGGAATCTGCAGGAAACAACAACCTGATCAAGGCCAGCTCAAGCGAGCCGAGAGGCACAGCTCGAGCGGCAGCAGAGCCTTCTAAAGAGTGAGTTTCATCTCAAGTACATGGGCTGATACAATTTCCAGGCATCGTCAAAGGTTCCGCTGAAAAATGCCTATGTACTACCCTTTTCTCTTGTTCGACGGCAGCAAACAGATTGCGCAGCCAAGCAAAACGTGTTCCAACTCCTGAGAACTTCCGAGAGCAAATCTTGAGAACAAGGATGTGCCGAAATATCTATCTCCTATCTACCTACCCATCCTGGTATGTGCCAACATCTATCACAATCAGTTTGTCCATTTGTTTCTCTCATTCTGTCACAACGATTGGGGTTTAAAGGCTTACACCAAGCGGTTCCAGATCGAGATGCAAACCAACCTGGCCAGCGTCTGCCGCCAAGGTCCCGATACGCTTCGCTGCAGAACCCAAAGAACATTGTGACGCCAGCCAACAGACCCTCCACCAGTACTGCTGTAATGTGTTTGGGGTTGTGGCGTGTGGGAGGTGAAGACTCAGCGCTTTGCATCTGTCCGTGATCATGTCTGGTCAGAGCGAAAGGACTTCATCGGTCAGGTAGGGACGTTGCTCACTGAATCTCCGAGCGCATTGCCCAAGAGATTCTTTTGACCAAGCAAGACTATGAGCAAATTCCCCAGACAAGACTGTGAGTCAGAGAGTCATACAAATGAGGGTGGGACGCTCCTTCTGTCTATGTAAACTCTCATTTAGCAAAGCCTCACACATATTGTGACTCGACAAGCAGAGGTTGTGGGAACACAAAAAAAAATTAGAAATATGTGCCGCCACAAAAGCGTTCATTGTTTTATTGTGGCGCCATAAATTATTGTTTTCTCTCCGTACCATTTTTTGTGGCGCCATAAAATCCTAAATGAAAACTTTATGGCGCCACAAAAACTCTATTTGTTTTTTTGTGGCGCCACACATGTCTAATTTTGGCAGTTCTTGAGTAAACGAAACGCTGCCCGTTTTTTCGCCATGAGTTTAGGGTTTAGGGTTTGCAAATGGGAGCTTCCGGCTTTGAAGTCTATCCCAAATTCAGTCGGAATCACTCAGAAGTTCTGCGTCGATCAGGTTTTCTGTCGATCAATAGTTGGCACGGCACGCTTCGCGTGGTGCCCCTGCAGTTTCTATAGTACAATGCAACGTTGCAATCGAATCTCTTTACCATCCATGGGCTCGAGTTCTCAACTATCAAATCACTGCAGTAAGCAACCGTCACCACAGCTACCGTCACCACAGCTACCGTCACCACAGCTACCGTCACCACAGCGTTTCAACATCCCCAAAACCCTCTCTGGAAGGATTGAGAGATCCTCCGGTCGAATTCGTTCTGACACCTCACTGGGTCAGAAAAGGTGACCAAATCAGATGACCAACGTTTCGTTTTGGCCCCAACCACAGCTCAAACACCTCGCCAAGTCAGTCAAAAAGCCTGTTTTCTAAAGGCCTTCAGCGCAGGTCATCCGGAATCCGGCAAGTTTTGCAAACGGCTCACCACGTCGGCCAGGATGTTCAGGAGAGCCGTGCGGGTATCCTTGGGGCGCGCAAATGTCCATGACAAGCCCCGTTCTCAACAAATGCCCTGCGAAACAGATCTCTCTTGCAAAGCCTCTGTCTGTCTGTCTCTCTCTCTCTCTCTCTCACCCCTAAGCAACAAGAAACACAGAAATGCGCCCTGAACCATGCAAGCGTCGGAAGGTGGCGTTGCTCCGGCATCTTTCGCGGTAGGTGTAGCCTGAAATGGTGTTGGTGGCTTTTGGCTGAGCTGCACACTTGAAAGCTTCCCAGCATCCCAGCATGTCAAATTCCAAACTGAAACCATTTCAAAAATGAAGCTAAAGGCACCAATGCTGCTGCTTTTGCAGCCTGTGCTGCGAATGCCTGAGACGTTGAAGCGTCAAACATTCTCAACTATCCGGACGAGCAAAATTCAGAGGCCCAAAATGATTTACCCTATCTTATTCATATTGCGCCCTGTAGTTGCTAGTTTAAGCGGCTTACCTATGAAATCTACTTTCTGGTTTGGGGTGACATTTCTTGCATCATGGCGCTTACCCTTTTTTATAAAAATGGTGGACCCCTTTCAAGGAAACAAATTCCGAGCAATGGTAGGGATCCCTGTTTTCCTCTTCGGTTTTCTCCCACCTTCAGACAAGGTGCCCTCCCCACAGAACCATGAGGCTTGGCGATAGAAGCAGGCTTGGCGATAGAAGCAGGCTTGGCGATAGAAGCAGCCTCTCAGACAGAGAAAGGAGTGAAGCGCTGGGCCAACAATGACCATGACAACAAAACAAAACAAAACGTGGCTCAGGGAAAAGCACCACAAGCCCCTTCTGACCTCACCAAAACGTGAGTGACTAGACCCTGACAAAAGACGGCCTTCGCCAAAGAATCAGGAGGAGCTGCCGCCGGCGGAGGATAGGGTGGAGGGGCTGGACTCCTGCCCACTCTCAACTAAGTACTTTCGCTTGCACACAAAAAACAGAAAAAACGGTTGCTTGTGAAACCTGCAGACGATGAGAATGGCAATGGAAACTGGGCAAGCTCTTGAACTCTAGAAACAATGCCCGAAACCTGTTGGGAAAAGTAATGGATTTGGGGCACCCTTTTCCAAGCCAACAAAAACAATGACGCCGCACCGCACATGTGCCTTTGGCGCGCTCCTGAAAGTCCTTCGAGACACCGTCAACGTTGGCACAGGAGAGGCCACCACAGATCCATGCTTCGCCTTTTCCTTAGATGCGCAAGCCTATAGCCATCGTCGACCAATCGGTGCAAAAAAGGTCTTGCATCACGGCGTTGCCAACCCGAAAGGAAAATTGCCACACCCCCAAAAATTCCAGCAAACATATGATCAAGGCTCTTTCGACTCTCTCGTCTTCTTCCCACCGCGAGTCCTGCCCCGCGCGCGGGTGCTCTCCCCCGCACGATAGTCGATCAGGGCCGACTCAGTCATCACCTTCCCATCGCAGCTCACGGTGCCGTCTCCATGCCAGATTTCCTTGCGCGTCGTTTCGGCGCAAACATGCTCTAACTCCTGAAAACGTCCTATATCTTGATAACGAGGTCGGTGCCTCACCAATCTACCAATCTATTCTATTTGTCAATCCATCCATCCACCCATCATGTACCTATATATCTATCTTCCTATCTACCTACCCATCCTGCGCGCGTGTCAAAAACTATCACGGTCAGTTTATCCATGTGTTTTCTCATTCTGTCACGACGATTGTGGTTTGAAGTTTTACACCCAACCATTCTAAAGGAGATGCAAACCAACCTGGCCAGCATCTGCTGCCAAGGTCCCGATACGCTTCAAACAAAACAGATCCAAGACTCTTTCTTCCCATCATGCCACCATACGCCAGCCCATCCAGTGCTAGGAGGAGTCGGTGGAGGCGCCATGGGCGTAGGAGCCGGCGGCGACTCAAAGGGCGGCAGCGCCCACGACGGAAGAGGCTCTGGTGGCGGCAAAGGAGGAAATGGATGAATGACCTCGCATCTGACTAACCAAGCACCGCCCCAGCCAGACCAAGATTGAAAGAAGATCTTGACGTTCCAAATGTCATCAACTATCTGCGTTATATAAATACAATGTATATATATATATGTACTAGGTAGGTGGGCAGACATGTAATGGCAAAGCAGAATCTTCCAATACTTTTCATGGTGCAAAATCTTGCTAAAGCTCAGGAACCGGATCTGGGCGAACCGGAGCTGATTCAGTGGGCTGCCACCTTTCTCCCCAGCTCTCGTCTTCCTCCTGCAGCAGTGAAGTCAGTGAAATGGCCGTCCTTCAAAGGACCAACTGTCAATGATGGGCTAGGCTATCATTCATTGATCAACCATATGCCATATTGTCCTCGCATCAAACCTACATAGCCCGGCATGTGTCCCCGTCCCGGCCTCCTCATAATCTGTCCATCCATTGTCAGCCCAATCGCGTCCACGCTTCGACATGACGCGCCCGCCCGACGAAGGTGGAAGGAAAGAAAATGAAAGAAGCATGTCCAAAGTCCAACGTGCATTGATATGTCATGAGAGGATATGCCAGTGTGAGAAATGCGTTCCGTGTGCCAAAGCATGAAAACGTATGTCCACAATCAGCGACCCATGCCGCCCAAAACTGAAGTGTTGGCTGACCTAGATACGAGCAGCTCTCAGTAGCATATATGTGAACATGAAGTGTTGTTGATGTATGTCAAGCTGTGGTTTCTGGACAAAAGTCGAAGCTCCAAGTTTGTGCAACAGTTCCATGCTGGCTGAGCCCAGCAAGAATCGCGGGGAAGCATCAACCACGAGTTTGGACAAACCTGCGACACGGTTGAGTTTCAAACCATGTGGTTTCCATGCACCAAACTCTTCTCCATGTCAAAAACCTATCACATGACCATCTTTCAAGTTATAAATCCCAGGAAATCTGTTTGAGGACAACCTTGCATTAATTTCCTTTTGTTTTGCAACGTTGAAAGCAAGTACAAAGCAAATGCTTCACAATGCCAATGTCCATGCTACGCGCGAGCGCATTGCCCAGCATCCTTGATTTGCACACGCGCGTAACAGTGGCAATGAACAGGCGCTTTTCCTTAAAGCGTTTAGGTCCGCCACGCCGCCACACTAAACAAAACTATATAGACTCATGATGGAGTCATTGGATCTTCAAGATTACGGTCTTCTTCACTCTTCTTGGGGCTCATTGAGTGCAGGCGTTTTCTCTTCTTTCTCTTTGGTGACTTGACAGCGGAATCTTCTTTAGGTTCAACCTTTGGCGATATCATGATGGCTTGTCGAACATATGATAGGTTGTCAACAGTCAATTCCATGAACAAATCTGTGCCTTTCACGCCCCAAAGAAACCTGATGGCACGCTCTGGCCATTCATCAGAAAGCGCCGGCATGTTCACAAGGATGGATCGCCCGACCAGAAACTCATCCTGCTGGATTGCTCGTCTGATCTTGGCAGGAGGCTGCATGTTGGCGGGCACATTCTCAAGAATCATCTTTTTCACAGCTGCGTCGCATGCTTCTCGGCGAAGCTGAGTAGTTTTCTGAAACCATTGAACATTCATGTGGTGCTGTTCCTTCTTGTTGTGCAACTGCTTTGTGCGACCTGTGCACAATTTGGTCAGCTGCGGCGACCATTTGGCCAGCCGAATGTACTCGACACCCTCAACGCTTTGAACATCAGGAAGCCAAGGGCTCTTCAAAGATGGCCCCGACACAGCCGTAACTCGAAAGATCTTGATTGGTTCAGGCCCTTGGTTCTCCTCTTCAGAGCGCACTTCTGCGTCAGCACCTTCTGCATCCGACATGAGCCCCGTGAAAGCATCAACAATATCCTACAATGATGAGATCTACTGGCACGTCCCTTGCGTGTGAGCCATGGGAAACGTGGCAAGCCTACTGTGAGTAAACGCTGAACTGTCGTGAACGCTGAGCAAACTTCCTGGTTGGGTGAATGTCCCACAGAAACATCATTCAAACAAGAATGGAACTGATGCACCAAGCTCACAAAGCTTGATTTTTCTACCAACTCCATCCATGTGTATACGCACTTCTTGAGAATGCGGGATTCTCGGCGACCTTCAAAAAGCATTCACTGTACACGGCCCTATGCATCAGGTCCCTTGACCCGCCGTCGCTTGCAGACAGGCTGCAATTCTTCCACGGTAGATTCCTTTTTGGCGAGCTCATTGTGCAAGATTAAGCTGTCACCCTGCTTGATCCCCTTGAAATTGCGTGCAAATGGGAGCACAAAGGCATTGTCTAGGGACAGCTTCCTGGACCCCTTGTCATACACAAGTTCCATGTTGCACTCTTCCTTCTTGTGCGAATAGCGCATGATCCAAAACGGTGAGATGAAAGCTGCAGGCTGCGCGGCATCAGAGTCGACCTTTGGCCAAACTGTGCCAGCCATCAAGGCGACTGTGTACACACGCGACCCAAATGCCCAATCCCCCAAAGGCACATGCGAGGGGTTCGACTCAAGCGTGTCCCCAACAAATACCTTGGTGGTGGTCACAGGGAGCTGACATTTTCCAACAGCAAAATCTCGACTGACCTTCACGTCCTTTGGCTGCTGAAAGATTTCAACATCGTCCACATTCTTGATTTTGGAGTCCCATTGCACGTTGAGGAGATGCAGAATCTTTCCTGCCAGGACAAGAGAATATTGTTCATTTTTGGAACTATTGGCACCAATGATAATGTACAGAAACATTTACCACTTTTCCCATTTGGATGGCAAGTTCCCCGTAAACAAACACAAGCGAAACATGGAACTTATGCGCCAGCAAGAAATCAACAAGATGGCCTTTGAGACGGGCAATCGCAAAATCCGGAGAAGCACTTGGCGAAAACAATTGCCAGTTTGGCGTGGCCCCAGCAGACTTCTTCACTTTGTGCAGTTTCCACTCCTTTTTCAAGAAGGACCCTGAGCTGCATGTAACTTGCTTGCCATCAGCTTGGAGCTCCAAAACGACCCGTTCTCCAATGGACTGAATTTTGGCAACTGTTTTGTCTTTGGCGCGAATCACCAACGCCCCAGCACTAAAACCCATTTGCGCCAAAGTCTCGTGCGCGTTGGTCACAACACCCGCTGCGTTCACCTCCTTCATCCTTGGGCATTACGTATACATATATATATATATATATTTATTTATATATCGAAGCTCTCATATGAACCATTCAAGTATAAATATATACAGCGTCACCCAAGCCTATAAATGGAGCGACTTTAAAACAATCCTTGATCGAATGCACCCAAGTTTCCCAACCCCAGATGAAGAGGTCGGTGCACAGGATGAGGCTGCCATCTCTTTCTTGGAAGGGACAGCAAACGAACACGTCAAGGTTTCTCCAACCTCCTTGCTGAAAAGCTCGATAAACTCGTACGCTGCTTCCTCCATGGAGTCAAACGACCAAGGGATATCCCGATGTTTCTTTTGCAACAAGGTGGCCACAACTTTGCACTCAGCCATCCCGAGCAGCTGTATGCATTTTTCCTTCGAGCACGTGTGCTTCTTGGTGATTTCGTGAAGCTCCGACAAGATAGCCTCACACTGGTCAACCTTGCTCTGCATGTCTTTTCCACTCAAAAGCTTTCGACAATCTCCAGGCGTCACAATTCGATCATTTGGCCCAAAGTAAGCGAGCTTCAAGAGCGCATGCCTCAATCTCATGCGCTGCTTTCCAGTCTTGGTAACGGTGCTCAAACTGTCCCACCTGAGGTCAGGCGCAACAACGAGGTCTTTGGAGGTGGTTTTCCCCCTCACAATGTCAATCAGGTGACCTGAGGTCAAGTCTGCGTCAACCAAACACCAAAGAACATCAAATTCAGCACTACAAGCCGAGCTGCACATCAAAGCCCAAGTTCTTGTCAGGATGACCGTGGCTTCTCACAAAGCTCTCGGTTCCGAACAACCAGTCGGATGCACGACCACCGCCAAAGCTCAAGACGAATGCAAAGATGGCAGGACAAGTCATCGACTGCGAAGGCTTCGACTGTAGCACGCTTTTCGATATGTCGGACCATGTGATCATGCGCTTGCCATCACCAGACTGGTCCTTCCACTTTGCCAGGATCTTCCGCGCAAGTTGCAACTCAGATTCTCCAGTTGACAAGTGGTTTGCGCTATTGGCAGCACTCTGGATCACCCGAGGCAGGGATGGCCAGCGATCAACAGCATCCCTGCTGATGACCAGCCAGCATCCCACTGCAAACCGCCTCTGCGAGACATGGATCCTTGGCCCTCACCTTTGTCAAAGACACGCGACCACCTTCCGTGATTGATTCATCACCTCCCTCATGAACCACCTCCGCTTTGATGCAACGAAGGCACGCATTTGTGTGCGATCCACTGATCGACGCAAACCTCAGGGCATGAAGCCCAGGTAGTTTTCCAGCTGACTCCAGGACTAGCCGCTCATTGAACTGCACAGTGTCAACATCTCCTGGTAACACCTCCACGCATATGTTTCGCGCGAAGGCCTTGTGGAAGCCAACGCTGCTGAACCCGTCGACCAAAGCGTGGCAATGGGCAATTGAAATACCGGCGCCGTCACCTCTGAATTTAGACAGGCAAGGAAAACAGACACTTCTGAGTACCGGCAACGTCTCCATATAAACTGCATGGAATGGCAGTATACAAATTTTTTGTTGATCAAAACTTGTCAAGTGACCTTAGATGGTTTTCTAGTTTGTTCTATATTTATCTATATAAAGGCATTACCTTTCCTAACCTCAGTAGCTGAGTCACGGTTGGACTGATGAATGCCAATGAACTCCGGCAAGATGTCCTGATGCCAAGCTAGTTTGTGCGCCGTCAACGTCTCCAAGATTGTTTGCACAGACGAAGCCAACGATCCCTCCTCTGCACGAGCTAAGCATCCCTCCACACTCTCGGCGGCGGCTGCAAGCGCCATGCGCTCGCGAGACTAGCCCAGCGAGACAGGTGCCGCCACACAAATGTCAAAGTTGATCTGACCAGTGTCCCTGAAACAAATTACTCCTGGTTATTTCTGTGCACTTTCAACCAGTG